AAAAAAACCCTATTTTATGTTTTAATTGAGTTTGGTTCCATCTAACCCACTTTAAAAAGCCAGCAGGTTTCTTGTACCTATATATACTTCACTCTGTTAAAAATCATTTTGGTTATTATTAGGTATCCCAGATTTAGTTATTCCTTTTAGATATACTTTGGAAACTTTGATGCCCCACGAGGATAATTTCTCAATTGTTTCTTACTGGGTAGAGGTCATTCATGCAGACTATAAGTATATTTAATTGCTCTGTGCAGTTGCTTCAGGAGCTCTGGTGGCTGCTAACCAAAAGGTCAGTTGTTTGAGCTCATCAGCCACTCCACTCTATGGGGAAAAGATGAGGCATTCTGTTTCTGTGAAGATTTACAGCCTTGGAAACCCTATGAGGCGGTTCTGCTCTGTCCTACTGGGTCACTATCAACTTGATGGCATTGAGTTTTTGCTTTCTTTGTAGTTGCTTAAAGAAGCATTTCTGTCTGTAGATAATACTGTCTTCCATCTCCACCTCATTTCCACCTGTCTTTTTCCAGCATTGTATTTGTTGAGGATACTCAAATTCTAATGTTGCTCTCTATCAATTTGTATTCAGCTCTTTAGTATCTAATAGTCTTTTTTCACTTAATTTTTAGACAGAAAGAAATAGATGAGCATGTGTAATAACATATGATCAGCATATTATGTTAGTTGGAGTTTTAAAGAGGATTAATACAAGTCAGAGTGTGTTTGCAGAGTTCTCATGCAATGTTTAAGTCTTATCCCTATCTCCAAAATTCCTAGCAGAGTCAGATACAAAATAGACCTTTTAAACATTTTACAATACTATGCAATGCTAATGTAGATTGAATTGCATGAATGACATTTTAGAGAATTTTTATATCAATACACATGTAGTGCATGGATTGGATATCTGATGCAAATGCTTTGTTTTTACATTTCATACATTTGAAATTGCCATTTTAAAAAAAGAAAGAAAACCTTAAATGTCTGTCATCAGAGAAAGAAAAAATTCATAGTGATATGTTCACAGAATGAATGTTGGGCAATTAAAGTGAATTTGGCCTTCATGTGTCAACAAAAATAAATTTTAAAATACTAATGCAGAATATTAAAACATTTTCAAGTATGTACAAGATACACTGTTTTGGTTTTTACAGCTTTATTGAGGTAGAATTTTCAAACCATGTAATTACATATGTTTAAGTATGCAATTTGATATGTTTTGACATACTTATTATATACCTACAGAACTACTAATAAATATCCATTATTTTCCCAAACTTTTTTTCTGCTTCTCCCTGTTCTTCATCCCTTCTTCAAACAACCAGTGATCTCCTTTCTGACAATATAGTTTGCATTTTCTAGAAATTTTATATAAATGGAATCAGTCATGCACAATCACATTTTTGTGAGGGTAGGGTGTCTGGCTTCTATTACTCAGCATAATTATTTTGTTGTTGAGTGTATCAATACATCATTGCTCTTTATTGATGAATAATATTTTATTAATACTTACACCATAATTTGTTCATCCATTTACCAGATAATGGACGTTGAGGTTATTGCTAGGTATTTACAATTACAAATAAAGTTGTTATGAACATTCATATAAAAGTTGTTTTGTGGACATATGCTTTAATTTCTCTTTGGTAAATGCCTAGGAGTGAAATATCTGGATAATATGGTTAAGTTTGTGTTATTAACTTTGTGGAATGGCTCAGCTGTATTTAAAATTAGTTGTACCATTATCACAAATGGTATTTATCAGCAGTGAATGAGAGCTACAATTGGCTTGTCCACATCCTTTCTAACATTTGGTATGGGAGGTTTTTTTGTTTTTTTCTTTGAATGTTTACAGAGAAAATTTGTTTTACATTCAATAATTTATACATTTTTTTTGTTCCTCAGTGCTCTTCCCATTTCCGCCCTGGATTCCCCATTATCTTTTCATCCTTCTTTCAGGATTCTTTCTTTGTCTTTGGTTTTAATGAGTTTGATGATGATGTGTCTTGGTGATTTTCTTTCGGGGTCTGTCCTGTTTGGGGTTTGTTGGACTTCCTGGATGGATATATTCTCATCTTTCATCATATCAGGGAAGTTCTCTTCCAACAAATCTTGGACAATTTTCTCAGTGGTTTTATTTTTCTCTTCCTGTTCTGGAATTCCAGTGACACGTAAATTATTCCTTTTGATGGTATCCCACATGAACTTTAGGCTTTCTTCATTTTGTTTTAATTGTTTTTCTGATTGATCCCTTTCCAAAGACGTATTCAGGTATTTATCTTCAATCTCATTAATTCTGTCTTCCATTGCATCAGTTCTACTCCTCTGGCCTTCCAGTGTGTTATCTATTTCTGACAATTTAGTACTAATCTTCTGGATTTCTATCTGTAGATTTAGAATGATTTCTAATTTTTCATTTATTTTGTCATTTTGTTCTTGTATTTTCTTCCAAAATTATTCTAGGATTTTTTCTGTGTTTTCTTTGGTCTGCCTCTTAATTCATTGAAGGTACCTAAATATAGTTCTTTTGAATTCCTTATCACAGAGTACCAATGCTTTTTCTTCCTCAGTGATGTATTCTGAGTTTGTATCCTGTCACCTTGTTTCTGCCACTTTATCCTGCGTCTTTATGTGGACTGTGATGGTGTGTTGTCTCCAAGGTATCGTGATGTTGTTGTATTTAGATCTCTGTTAACTGTGAAGCGCAGCCAAGGGTGACTCAGGCTTTTCTTGGTGGTTTTTTATCATTGGCCCATTGGTAGAGAAAGAGGAAGTGTCTCTTGCTCAGTAAATGAAGTTGCAGGAGGTGTGGGTGTAGTTGTGTCTTATGGGGACCGTTGCTGTTTCCCACTCAGTTAGACAAAAATTACAATTGAATAACAATCAAAAAACTAAAAGCACATAGACAAAAAACACACCATGTAATCACACAGGAACAGTAACCAAAAAAAGAAAAAGGGAAAAAGAAGAAGAAAAAAACAAGAAAACCTGCAATATCTGGATATAGGGCACTAAGAGAAAAAAGGTAGAGAAGGAGAATAATGAAGAAAAAAATAATGAAGGAAAATGCAAAAAGATAAACAAGGAATGGGGTTAATTATGAGAAAAAAGGGGGAAAAAAGAAAAAAAAACATTTTTTTTAACCAGGAACAGGGAAAAGGAAAAAAAGCTGAAAACTAGGACCTGGAGGGGAAGAATAAGAATAATAGTAAAAAGGACAAAAGTATTAATACTAATAGTTTTAAAACAGACAAATGAAGCAAACTAATCACCAGAAAAAAGAAAGCAAAAAAGAGGGGGAAAAAAAAAAAAAAAA